AGAGAGAGAAATGAAGAAAGAATGAACATACAAAAGAAGGAAAATTCAGAAAGAAGGAATGTGATCAAGAAACTTCATATGCTGGGGCCGGAGAAATGGCATGATGGTTAAGAGCTTACAGCTCTTGCAGAGGACCCAAATTTAGTTTAGCGCCCATGAGGCCACTTGTAAGGGTCTGCAACTCCAGCTCCAGAGGAGCCGATGCCCCCTGCTGGCCTCCTCAAGCCTTCCGCCCAACTGCGTGCGTCCACACACAGATTTACATGCATAAATAAAAACAAAATAAAATCTTAAAAAAATAAAACATGGCCAGGGAGTGGTGGCTCGTGCTTTTAATCCCAGCATGGGAGAGGCAGAGGCTCTGTGAGTTCGAGGCCAGTCTGGTCTACAAAGCGAGTTCCAGGACAGCCAGAGCTGTTACACTGCCTCAAAAAAACCAAAATAAAATAAATAAATAATAAAACATTATCTATGTATCAAAATATCATAATGCATAATGTCATATGCATAATTAATATATTGTTTAAAAAGTTACTACAGTCTCTGAATTGAATTTTAATTCACTACCACTAAGTTGTGTTGAGGGTTCTATGTCCCCCCCCGCCATACTCTGAATTTCCTAACTAATTTTAGCAGATAAACCTTAGTGAGTGCTCGTTTGGCTAAAGTCTGAGCCAGAAGCTACGGAGAAAGTGTGGACGCAAGGTCGGAGAATTGGAATTCAGGCACCGGAATCCAAGGTCAGGAGTCAAGCGATTGTCTTTAATAAATGATAAGCTATCTTCCTTAATAAAATCTAAAGGGAGGAAAGGTCAGGATGAGAAGGGTGCCCAAGCCTTGATTCCCAGGGAAGAGCTGCTAATGTGTGCCTGAGCCTCAGACTGAAAGTCTGCCTTCAGCCGGAGATCAAAAGTGCCTTCCAAAAGTGTGCTTATTAATTTCAAAGGAACTATAATTCTATGCATGGGAAAAACAAGGAGGAGGCTCCTGAGCTAAAGGAGAGGTCTCAGTCCAGCACACAAAATCTGCGTATTCACACACACGACCTACATACACCACACTGCCACATAGATGGATATACAGCATGTGTACATACACAGGAGTTTATATATTCAACAGGACAAGCCATCCAGCTCCAGAGTGAAACGTGACTCCAATCTGCTCACACCCTTGATGTAGAGATGTGTTCAGATCCATGGGAGGAAGAAGAAGGAAAGGCAGCCAGTGGGAGAGCCACGAGGACCCCCAGGATGGGAAAGTGTTCTCACTGAATTAGGAGAAAATTATAAATAGGTACGCCAAATGCTGCACCAAGATGGCATTCCGGGAGCTCACATAATTGCTTGGGGAGACGTGGTACCTGGTTAACACCTGTGTGACTTAGGTGCTGAGGACATTCATTCCTTCCTGCTCACATGGGTCACCTGCTCAGAAGAACTGCTTGAACACCTCTTGGCCCAGCTGAGAAGTACTGGGGAAACCTAGCCTTGTACTGTCTGGGACCTGGATGGCTTAGAACGACAGCCCTGGGAAGAAGCTGGTCCGTAAACCTCATCCCTGATTCCCACAAGATGCTACCTGTAAGTTATAGGAAGATATGCACCGTATTGCATCTGTGAACCCATGATGCCTGTGTGTCACGTGCAGTGCTTACACACAATGACAAACATACTGTGGGGGCCAGACAGACCCCAGTGGTTAAAAGAACTGGATGCTCCTACCACATGGGATCAGTTCCCACCACCCATATAGCAGTTTACAACCACCTGAAACTCCAGTTCCAGTAGATCTGATGCTCTCTTCTGGCCTCTGTGGGCACCAGGCATGCACATGGTACCATATCCACATAAAGAAATACGTACACACATAAATAAAAATGAATTTTAAAAAACTTGAAAGTGTACACACACACACACACACACACACACACACACACACATTCAGACCAGGTGAATGTTAATAGAATTCTTCGTCCTTGAAACAGCGTTCCTATAAGGCCACAGATCATCTTGCTGGACCTTGCTTGACCATCTGTTGGGAGACCTGGTGTCACCTGAGCAGGCAACTCTGGGAGGCAGGGACTTCAGGAAGGAAATGTGAGCTAGGCCATGCAATTCTTTCTGCCCTTTGTCCCCTTCCAGGAGTCTGCCCCCAACTGTGTGCACCAATAAACACAGTCCTGTCTACTGAAAGGTTAGAATCCTGTCTCCTTCGGGCTCCTGTCTTTCAGCTGCCTCAGCAATCTAATAGATGGGTCTACAGAACAATTCGTAGGGGACTTGTCTAGCTTGGAGAAATCCCTGCACCCAAGGGTATAAACCAGGTATGACAATGCTTACCCACAATGGCAGGGGGATTAGAAATTCAAGGTCATCCTCAGCTACCCACCAAATGTAAGGCCATCCTGGGCTACATAAGACCCTGTCTCAAAGATAAGTTATTTAAATGAAAATAAATAAAATAAAAATGTATACTTCAGACTGACTATGGGCAAGGTGCCTTGATGTTTGCTATTTCTTAAAGTGCACACCCCCAACTCTCTAAATTGATTTTGAGCCTCCTGCCCCAGAAGACCCTGGAGGGAGACAGAGTTAATCCTATATCCGTTGCGCCTCTCAAATCTTTTTCCTGGGCTGGAGATTAAATGTAATGAGAATTCAGGAAACTAAATTAGAGAATGACAGACGAGGGCATTCCATGCCTGCTCTTCTTCTCGAAATAATGAAAGGGGGAGGGGAGGGGAAGAAGAAAGAAGGAAAATTCAGAGAACTTTGTATGTCCTGCCCACAGAGAGAAAGCTCAGTTTCAGACAGATGAACACTTAAAAAAAA